CATACAATTCAATGGTTCAGACATATTAAAAATAGTTGTGCAATCATCATCACAATCAATTTTAGAAATACTCACTTTTTGGTTTACTCACAAGATCCAGCGTTCTATCAGTTTCCCAAACTTATTTTGGCTACTACCCACTTTTCATGAAAAAATGAGCCAGCACCACCGTGGCAATGACTAACTTCTGAACTGTTCTAATTACTGTTCTATTACTCTTCCACTTATGTTTTATCCAGGATAAAATGTAGGCAGCTATCTGCTTTTGCAGCCCCACTGGGTGGTTCTAGTACCCCCTCCTGCCCCCACCAGGACGTGGTGCTGCACACTTCGGGATACACTGCACTATAAGGATCCTACATCCAATTATTTTTGAAACTATTAAAATAAGCATCTGATACTGACAAACAGCTCCATCTGTCTGGCTGGTGGGATTGACTGACTTGGGGACGGCTAACAGGGAGCTACTAGTCTCTGCTTCCTACAAGGGAGCTCCAGAAGACTCGTGGGATCCAGTGCTTTTCATTCCATTTGTTCACCAACCCTTTAGACTCCCCTTGGAATTCTCTTGGAGTAACATGTTTTGTGTGTAATGAAATACTATAGAGCTGTTAAAAATAATGCAATGGCTAGGTACTCATATCTATAGCATACATGCACACTAATACGTAGAATGTCATTAAGATTTTCGAGGTGGTAACTACAAAAAGCAAGAGAAAACCATGTGTTTCACATGCTGTTATTTGTGTCTAAAGGCAGGGACGGAGGGCAGGAAGCTATAGTGGCAAAGGCATGTACATGGATTAGCTCTCGCAGCAAGACTGCACTGAGCCCATTGGCACGAGTGGCTCTCTCTTGCCAGGACAGTGAGAGAGCGGGGTCAGGATGAAGAGACCGTCATAAGGAGAGCACATACCCCTCTTCTCATCATTGTTACCACGTGCATAGTTTATCTTTTCGAGCAATGTAACACTGAAAGCAAGAGCCAATACGTACAAATTAAACAGCACATCACTAAGTGGTTCTCATCATCACTCATGTCTGTGTTCGTGTTAATGAAAGCAGGAAAAGCGGGGAATACCTGGCTTCACTGGACAAGACCAAACCTCTGCTTTTCTTTTTT